TGATGTCTGACGTTCATTTCCCCTTACCATCTTCAAAAATCAATTTCTATTTCATTCATAGACAAGTAAAGAAGGTCGTCTTAATATTTGATCTAAACTTTGTGCAGTTTTTGTTTGGAAATTCTTACAGATCAGGGTCATCACCGATGACCTCAGAGTTTTAAAAAAAAGAATAAAAAGAGACGAATACAACTATCCTTCGAGTTTTATATATTTCTTTTCTCGTTTTAAATTATTTACATTCCTCCTTCAAAGTGTGTCAATTTGATTATCTGAAGTACATAAAGCGTGCGTTTGGGTGCTTTTGATGTGATGAAACTTATCAAAAGATTTCTGGGTGACGATCAAAGAGTGTAACGGTGAAGAACACGTTCCCCCGCGCGATGAACTCGGCGTGACTGTCGGAAAATAAAGCCTCCAGTCGCCGCACAAACATGCATATTTATTTATTTATTTATTTATTTATTTATTTATTGAGAGAGCTGACAAGTTCTCAGTTTAAAACCTAAACTTGAAGGAAATGCTGCAGGCAAATATCAAGCTTCGCCTCTCTTTATCCTGAAATGAAACACCTGTACGTGAAAGACACAATTCCTCCGCAGAAACTCAATATTTCAGGATATCTTGTCACGAAAGCGCTGAAAGAACAAAGACATCGGCGAGCTCAAAAAAGGGCGCTGCGCGCTTGTTTACCTCCGATTTGTGATTTGAGGGCTTCAACCTGGGAAGTGAGAGTAGAGACTTCTTTTTCCCTTTTCAGCAGCTTCTCCATTGTTTCTGCAGAAAAACAACATAGCAGCCATGAGACGCCTCGCTCACACAACGCGCCGATGATCCAAATCAGTGCAGTGATTTGTGACTGGAGTGCCACAAAGTTTTCCACAGTTTTGTGTTACTTCCTTATCTGTCACTTGGCAGGATACAGTGAAATCCTATGAAGTTATTGGACAGACGCCCTTGTGTACCAGAAGAGCTGCGATTTTCTCGAGCTTTTTAGCCATTAGACGCTTAAGTGAGATTTATGTAACAAGACAGAGGCTTGTGAGGTCTTTATTTATAGACTGACTCAGGAAATCTATTTTATTTCACAAAGACATACGCATAATGAGTACTGGTCAGTATTTAGTACCTCGGAATACATTATAACCTCATATATAGGATATTTTAACTTGACATATTTTTAACCAGTTTAGGGAACTGATTTGCTTCCTATTTTGTTATTATAAATACAAGGCCCTTTTGTAACCACTAGCCATTTATCTTAGCTTAGCACAAACAGTGGAAATAACTAGTCTGGCTCGCTTCAGCAGAGCAACAAAATCCATATCTCAGCTTTGCTTGTATGTTGAAATGACTGTCAGGTGTTTGTGTTTTCATGTGTTCCCAAAATAACGGGGAAAAAGTGAATCTGAATGACAAAAACTACCAGCGCCTGCTGAGTAGTTGATGCTTAACTCCCAGAAATGTGTCGGACTAGTCAAAAAACATAAAGGTGTTTTTATGTTGACAAAAATTACAAGATTAAAAGGGAAGTAGTGGTGAAAAGCAGATGGAAATAGGCAGAAGTGGTCTCTATACAATATTATTTTTACAACACATTCTCAGGAGCAAGGAGGGCGGCATTATTCCTAAAATGTTGAGCTCTTTCTTTCAAGTTGTTACGTCCCTTTTTTCTTTTTCTTTTTTTTCTTTCTTTTTTCTGCCAAGCTTTTAAATTTCTTCTCATCTCTCGAGTGTATACATGGGTAATATGACAAGAACAATGGGAAGTAACACTTTGGGAATCACTGGGAAGTAAGAACAAGGAGCAAAAAGCACAAACGTGATTAAACTAAGAAAGCAGATCAGCTGAAGTGTGTGTGATTGGTGTGCTTTTTTTCATGAATCTGTAGTCGGGATTAAGATAAACACAAACATACCTTCTATGTTCTGTTTTAGCTTCATCTTCTCATCTGAAATTTCATTATCTTCTATCACCTGAAAGAGGAGAAAGTGTCAGGTGCTGAATTTGTATCTAAACACTGCAGGTGCCTCTTTCTCCTCAGCCACTCACATTAGCATCATTAGATGTGAAGCGCTCGGCCTGGATGGCCTGGAGCTGGTTGGCCGTCACCCTCAGCTTCTCCTCGAGTTTCTGGATCTCTTCTTGGCTCGCCTCCTGAGCTTTCTGCAGAGCCTGGTAGTCCGTCATCTGCTTCTCTGACAGCTCCAGCCTCTCCCTCAGCTCCTCCGCTCTTTTGTTCTGCTCCATCTGAAGCGTCTCCATATCTGCCAGCCTCTGCTCCGCCTTCTGTAGCTTATCCGTAGCTGCCTCCAGCGCGTGCTTTCCACTTTTGGCTTCCAATTCAGCCCTCCATGTCTGGTTGCCTTGAGCCAGCTGGTCTTTGGCCTCCTGCAGACGAGCGCAGAGGTCCTCTCGTTCCTTTGTCAGGATGGCAGCTTCAATTTTATGTTTGGCCTTGAGGTTCTCCACCTCTAGCTGGTGCTCCATTTTCAGGCTTTCCAGGGTTGCTCTCAGCTCCTGGGTGTCCTGCTCTTGACCTTCTGTAGCGGTATGACTACTGCTCAGTGTTGCCTTTAGTTCCTCCAAGGATCGCTGGTGGTCACTGACTAAAGTGTCAAATTTAGCCTGCAAGAGAAAGGGAGAAAGATCGCTTTTAGGTCATACTTGCTGCATTTGTGAAACGAATCAATTCAAATCAACTAGTAACCATTCAGGGGATAATGCAACCCAAAGATTTAACATGCATGCTTTTAAAAATTTGAATAGTTAACTCTAATCTCATTGTGTGTGATTGTCTCTGGTTGTGCAGACGGCTTGGTGCAGGATCTGCAGTGCTGCAGATGCTCACTGGTCTGTTGTGGTGAAGAGAGAGCTGAACGTGAAGGCAAACCTGTGGATTTATGAGTCACTAAATTGCCAAATGCATTCACTCCTCCATCAAAGTCATTGAATTCAGGTGTTCTAATCACTCCCATGGCCACAGGTGTATAAAATCAAACACATAAGCGTTCACAAACATTCGTGAAAGACTGGGTCGCTCTCAGGAGCTCAGTGAGCGTGCCACTGTGACAGGATGGCACCTGTGCAAGTCCAGTCGCGAAATTTCATCCCTACTAGGCAAGGCAAGGCAAATTTATTTGTATAGCACAATTCAACAACAAGGTGATTCAAAGTGCTTTACAGAGACATTAGAAACAAAAACAAATAATACTAAATATTCCACAGTCAACTGTTAGTGGTATTATAATGAAGTGGAAGTGCTTAGGAACGACAAAAACTCAGCCACAAAGTGGTAGGCTAAATAAAATCACAGAGTGGGTCAATAGATTCTGAGGTGATCAATTTTCTGCAGAGTCAATCACTACAGACCTCCAAACCTTCAGATTAGCTCAACAACAGTGTGTAGGGAGCTTCATCAAATGGGTTTCCATGGCCGATGCAACTGTGTAAAGCATGCTACCACTGGACTAGAGCAGCAGAGATGCGGTCTCTGGAGTGATGAATCACGCTTCTACCTAGCAATCCGATGGATGAGTGTAGGTAGGTTTGGTGGTTGCCAGGAGAACAATGCTTGTCTGACTGCAGTGTAAAGTTTGGTGGAGGAGGGATTATGGTGTGGGGTTGGTTTTCAGCAGTTGGACTCAGCCCCTTAGGTCCAGTAAAAAGAACTCTCAATGCTTCAGGATACCAGGACATATTGGATGATTTCATGCTCCCAACTTTGTGGGAACAGTTTGGGGATGGCCCCTTCCTGTTCCAACGTGACCGTGCACTTTTTTGCAAACAAGGTCCTTAAAGACATGGATGAGCAAGTTTAGTGTGGAAGAACTTGACTGGCCTGCACAGAGTCCCGACCTCAACCTGAAAGAAAACCTTTGGGACTGTGAGCCAGGTCTTCTTATTCAACATCAGTGTCTGAGCTCACGAATTTGCTTCTGGAAGAATGGTCGGATCTTCCCATAAACACACTAAACCCTGTGGAAAACCTTCCCAGAAGCTTTTATAACTGTAAAGGGTGGGCTGGATTAAGAATGGGATGTCATATGTTCTTGAAGGCAGACGAGCGAATACTTTTGGCAATATAGTCCATGTTTCAGTTTGTGGTCATACTTTACCTACGACCACAAATGCAAGTGTCTTTTCACACCGCTTTAAATGCCTGTTTGAATTTCAAGACTTGGTTTTAGGGTTGAAGTTAGAGTTAGGTTTAGGTTTAGGTTAGGCTGCCATGTTTGAATTGGGTGGAATGTACGGATGATGAGATGAGTGAAGAAGGGATGGACACAGAGAGACTTCTCAAATTACATTTTGATGTAACATTCTTATTCTTGTTATAGCCACCCTGATTTACCCTTTTTTCTTTTTGTAAATCCTTTGAAATTTTGTAAGCAAAACTGAATCCTGCTCTAAATGAAGGATTCCTACAAACACATAACTGCACTGACATGACCACACTACTCTGGCTGACTTGAAGACAGTTATAAAAAACAGAGCAGCTTACCTTCCAGGTGTCCATCATTTCCACGTTTTCCTTGGTAGCCTGTTGAGCTTTCTGTTTCATCTCATTGATCTCCACGTTCTGTTTCTCCACGACAGCCTTCAATGAGTCGATCTCCTGCTGGCTTGCTGCTAAGGCAGTCTCGTACTTCTCTCTGAGCTCGCTGCTCTCCTTGTAGTGCTCCCGGCCCGCTGACAGCAGCTGCTCGCGCAGCAGGAGGGTCTCTGGCTGGGCGTCGGACCCCTGGGCCGCATCAACACGGTCAACTTTCTGCCAGCTTGCATCAGCCCCTTTGAGCTGGACCTGGAGATTCGTGATCTCGGCTCTCCTGAGGCTGAGCTCCTCCTCCAACTGCATGATGCGGCTCTTCTCTTCAACTGTAGTTTGCTGATGAGAAAGAAAGCAAGAACCCAGCACTGCTTTTGAAAGTTTTTTGTTTTTGTTTTTTCTAAGGAGAAACATGTTCTTTCTATAAAGTAATTGTATTTACTACAACAGGTGGAAGACCCTGCAACAGACTGTCATTCCAAAGAAACAAAGGTGACGTGACGAAGAGCGGAAATCAGCCCATAAGAAAAGGAAAACAGAGAAATCTATGCAGGTCCTGGAGATGACCAAGTGCATTGCAGAGGATTTACAGTACAAACATGTGACAAAGTATGTGGACAGCAACAGATTGTTCAACAGTTTGGCTCCCAGTGAAGATGCTACAATGACTCTGAGTATTTTTTTCTCATTGGTATTTTTGGAAAACTTATAACACATAACTGCAAACAAAGTTTGGATGTGTGCATACAGGGTGTAATTTGTTGGGATTTACTGCTGCTAAAACGTGCAGCCAGCGAGGATGATGTCCTAACTAATTTGCCATTAAATGAAAAACCACATCTGATTTCAATCTGGCCTATTTCGCTTTCAGTCTCAACTCTTTGGATAGCGCTGGACCACGTCCAGTGTGGCTGCAAATTTTAAAATGCTCTGCTCTAACCACTCAGACGAGCACATGCTGTATGTGAAAACGTGTCAAATCAGCCGCCCATCAACTTGAGTTTTATTTTGTGGAAGAGGCGAAGCAGATTTAGAGATTAGGACGGATGATGCACGAATTTTGCATTGGTGTGGGCTGCGTGCAAGAAGACAATGCATGAGGTGCGCCTCCCTTCAGGTCGTTTATGCTGAACGTTCTCCCTCAGACACGTCGGGAAGTTATAGTAAAACCCTCCAACAAAATCAAAAGAACAAACACGTCCCGGTCACGTTCCCAACCTGATGTGATGCTTTCAGGCTTGGATACTGCAGAGTGTTCAGCTGAAAACTGCTGCTGGTTGGACCAGGCTGATCTGTGTAAGAGGTTGAGGTCTATGGTTAAACTGTACATGTGTAAATCCAGGTGACGAGAACGTGACACTAAAAACTCCAGCTGTGCCTAAAGCAACCCAGAAATGCAAACCTTGAAGGGGTGATGGGCCAAATTTAAATCCGGTATGACCTTCGATTTTTATTTATTTCGTTATTTTTTTTATTTTTTTTTTTTTTTCCAGCTTAGGCCCAGAGGTTTATCACCCCACCCCTTTACTTCCTAAGAATTCTGTACCAAGCTACCCGGCACCACCTGGTAGATTTATGCAACTAGCTGGTGAACACAGGAGAACATTTAGTGTCTAATCCTAAAATAAAAACTACTTTCAGCTGCTCCCTTGTCACATGGAGTCACCACAGCAGGTAGCAGCTGTTGTTTAGTTTGGCAGAGTTTACGCGGGACGCCCCTCCTAACCAAACGGCGATTTTTGTGTCTGGAATGGAACCAGTGACCTTTTACTTGTTTACTTTTTAAAACCTTAAGGTTTTAGTTGCATCACTTAATATTTAGGAAGATATCCTTGATTTTTAGAGGGTTAGGTTTGTTCTTTTTTGTTATATACTTCCACTTGCCTCACTGAAAAGTATCTATTGGTTCAACCATTTTTTTTTGTGGCAAACATTTTCAGGAGTTGGTGAAAACAAAAATTAAGTCCAAAACAGAGCAAATATCGGCAAGACTTATAAATAAGCCAACTGAGGGCTATTCCTTTCATTTAACTTCTTAAAGAACTCTGACGAAGCTTCATGTTCTTATTTGGGTGCAGATAGCTTCACAGAGCTGCCTGGAGCAGCACAGTCGCTCAGGGCTAAACTGGCATTTTGTCAGAAATAACACGAAGCCAACATACAGCAGAGGAAAAACACATTACACAAAGACAGAACAGAGGTTAACTCCCTATCCTGCTGAGGGCATTTGAGATTTTCACTCTTGCAACATAAATATGAGTGATGCAACACCCAAAGTTCCTCAAGATTCCCATTAATATTAAGATGTCTGGTAACTTTAATGATGATGAATATCAATGCAGGAAACTGTGGAACATGTGGACATAAAATCTTGATGTATGAAAATACTGTTGGGAACTTTGTGTTAATATATTTATTTAGTGTAATTAATATAGGTGAAATATCTTTAATAAATTAGGCTGGGGCATTAGCGAGCGTTGCTTATTAATGAATCTGCCAATAGTCACTCGGTTTTTAATCATTTTTCTGTCTCCGACCAACTCCGTCAGGAGAGATTGGGCTTTTTAAAAGTGCTGAACACAGTTTGCCATCAGTAGCTGACACACCCGTCTACTTATCAGAACTTACTTCTCTAATAATAGCTGCCTTGCTCTGCTTGAGGCCGAAAAACCAAAAATAATGACCAAGGAGACGCTGAAAGGCCGAGCATAGAGGACAGACAGCTGGGTAATAATTCTGTGTGGGTTATGCAACCACTTGCAAGGTCATTGAATCTGTTGTTTATATTAAAATATTGACTAAGAGAGCTTTAAGTCTTCTACAGATGGCGGATGGATTTTGCCATCCCTTTTCCCCCTTTCCCTGGCTGTTCACAACTGCAGTCACTCGTAATTTTAGAGGAACACCATCAAAACACTGGCACCGGTCAGGGTTTGCATTTCACTCGGGATCAAAGTCCAAATAAACCATCAGAATTATTACGCTGCCCTCATAATAACGCGGAAAGCCTGCACTTAAATGCTAAAGCCATTGTATCATTTCCATCCAAAATAATTAAAGCGAGGAGCCAAAAGGATCAACTTGTCGCTGTCCAAACATTTGTGGAGCTCAGTGTGCAAAAACCAAAGGTGGAAAATGAAAGGAGAGCGCAGCCATTCTCTGATCTTCTAGAAGCAGCCAAGCAAATATAATAGAGCAAACCTCAACAGTGACATATGCACAGCTGCAAACATCCTCCACACATTTGTTTCCAATCAGAATGGAAAAAGAAAAACAGCCAAAAAAAAAACAAAACTGAGATTAAGATGGAGGACCTGCTGCACAGTGCACAGATGTTAATTTCAACCCAGATCCCAGCTGACCAGACCAGAGTTACTAGCTGATTCACACCAGAGACGCTGCCTGAGTAGCATTCAGATGACGTCGCACACACACACGCACGCACACAGAGGAGTAAAAGAGTCTATGCAAGGTTAATGTCCTCAACAGCATCTGAAGTCGATTTGAAGTCAGGAACTGAGATAGCTCAAGAGAGGATCAAAGCCAAAACAAGATCAAATCTTTTTTTTTTCTTTTTTTTCACCTTGGTTCTCTTACCCAACCTCAAGGATACCGCTTCATGAGTGCATCTTCCCTGTTGGCAGAAGCAGACCTTACTGCATATACGAATCCAAGCATTTCAAAGTGTTTTGTTATCTTTTGATGGCTGAAAATTGAAAGCTTGCGCGGTTTGATTTGTGATACCGTGGTCTATTATTAAAGAGCCTGTCTACGTGGAGCGCAGCGCTGCATGTCAAAGTGGTGTAAAGGACGTCCTTCGCGGCGCCGACTAAAATGGGCGGCACCGCCTATGATTTGTCTTGAAAAATTTATCGAAGCGTCCGTAATGGATCCCCTAAATAATTTAGCGACTTCTCGTGTGTTATTAATTACATAACTGCTCAAAAATTGGTGTGGCGCCTGGGGAGATTCATCCTCCACAGCTTAAGTGGAAGGGGGCCGTTTCGAGTGATACGTCCCGACGTCTCAAAGTGCAGCAGGCGACAGATCTGAAAGCCAGCTTTGGATTTAAAGGGGGGGGGAAAAAAAACCATTTAAATAAAAATTAATGGCAGCTAATTGCAACATTAGACAAAAGAAAAGCTGAAGCAGCTGCGAGCCTCTGTTTTCTGATTACAAGCGATGGAATGAAGCAGAGGAAGGCCCAGATAAAGCCAGTCTGGTTAATGATCATGTGTAATGTGAAGAGCTGTGACCAACACCCACTATCATTTTAAGTAAATAACAAACTTCATATTTCCACTACTTTCCCATCTATTTCTAAATATTAAAGCTGGTAATATTCCATAGATACATTATTGATTATAAACAAATCCATGAAAAGACCAAAACCAGATCTACTAAGACCTTATTTATCCTGGGTTTGAGTTAGGTGGGAGCTGATATAACAGCCATGACTGACACAAACTGTGCTTTTTTCAGTTTGATTCACATTAAAAGGCTTAAAAAAATACGTATGTTGCATGCATGTACTATTCACATTAAGAGAATGCAAACTAGAGACTACAGAAAACGTCTGAAAAGTGAAGCCATTCTCCCCGCTTGCTCTGGTTGTTAAAAGAAGCCCAGATGTATAGATGTCTATGGGGAAAATGTCTCTACTTCTCACTTAAACTCATCACAAAAGTGTTTACTGAGGTCAGAGGTCAAGGTCTCAGGTGCTAGTTTGAAGCCATACTCAATAAAATATGAGAGCTTTGTACAACACAGACCTCATTACAGTTGCAAAAGGAAGGAATCCATTGTGATTTATTATTGCAATTTATCACCATATGATCGTGCAATGACCCCCTCGATCATTACGTGCAGTTTCACTGATCAGGCTAGCAAGCTGAGCCATCAATGAAGCAAAACTGTGTATGCACAGTTTAAGTACAGGGAGAAAAGTCAAAGTTACCAGACTCTTTAAAGAGGTTTTTACTGGATTTGACCGCTTATTAAATAGATCCCACTGAAAATTAAAGTGCTTAAAGCCATTAAAGAAAGCTTCATGCCCACATGACAACAAGTGGGCTGCAATGGGAAAGGTTTGGACCATGTTACTGCGAAGAGGCCCTGCTTTGCATTGTTATTTATATTTTTATAAATAAATGTTTATGTTAACCCCTAAAGCTAGTTCTTTTCCAGATTCTAACAGTACTTAGTTTGATTTTACAAAGATAGTTAAGTATGTTAACTTTTTTTAAATGAGTCAAGCCATCAGTGGAACCAAAAGTTTGGGCCTGTTTGTCTCTCTTCTGCTTGTTGGTTTTGGTCTTTTTTTTTTTATGGGATTTGGACTAAACATCAGCCTAATCCATTAAACTACAACACTTCCCTCAGCTTGCTACACTCATTACAAGTCTCAACCACAGTTATGAGTCATTTCAAATTATTCTGGTGAGGTTATCCTCATATTTTATTCTGTGACTGTTGTGGAGTTCACACCTGTACCTGTTAGCAAGCGTCTGCATGCTGGGGGCCTATCCTCCTGCCCATAATACTTGTAGTGTAGTCACATGGGGCCGGTATGCTGACACGTACTGACTGTAAGTATGTTTTGCATATATCTAAACTACATTTGGACACAGCCACGGGTGGGATATGTGAGTTATCATCAACAGAGAAGCAAACAGGTGCAGAAGCGCACGGGACAGTGGCCACAGGCAAAGGTTTGCTTGTGTATTTTTGTTTTTTACCCTCCGCTTCTCTAATTCTTTGTGGAGCGTCTCTGCTCTCGACTTTTCGAGGAGCAGGCTCTGCTCAAGCTGACGAATATGGGCATGTTCCAATTTCGTCTGAGTCTACGGGAAGAGACAAAGAGAGATACAAAGAAGAAAGAAAAGGGAGGCTGAAAGGAAAAAGAGACCCATACAGATCAAAGAAGGTGATCAAAACGGCTGACAGCTGATGATGAAAGGGCAGCTCTGCAGACGGCAGCAGGGTGCACAAGCTGAGGAGGAGATCTGAGGTTACGTTTCACTTTCACAGAAAGTGCAATTTGCAGTTAAGGACAACTTTGTGGTCACAGGTACATGACCAGAGAAGACAAGAGTTGCACCTGCAGATGGCTCACACGTCAGTCTGAGCTGCTTAATGCATGACGTGCATTAAGCAGCGCAGACTGTGCAAACCATGAAAAAGCATTAAAACACATGGTTTGATTGCATTCATATACACTGTTTTATGTCTAATACAGTAAATAAACATGATCGGCATTAAGAGTCACATCTTATTCAAGGCTGAAATTTCATCCTATTGTTGTCAGCAAATCTTTTGAAAGAATGAAAGGCAAATATATTAAAAAACATGTACTTTATCCAAAGAGTGGGGAAAAAAATACAACTTATCCCTGTGGGTTCCTCATCCTTTAACCAATCGGTACAATGGT